AAAAGAAAAGAAAAAAAGACATTAGTAGGTATCACGATGATGCATTACGTAGGAAGAAAAAAAGAAAAAAAGAAAAAAGCAAAAAGAAAATCTGGTAAAAGTAGTAAAAGTATTTTTTATTTACTATGGACTCCTACGTTAAGGCCATAGTAATTTGTTTGATATCTATCAAAAATGCATAATATCTCTTCGTATATATATATAAATTTTCTTCATTCAAGTCACACATTTTTATCTGTAAATAATAATTCAAAGAAATTATCGAAATAGGCGTATCATTCGTATATTAAATTCGATATTAATAATAATAAATATTTTAAATACTTTGTTCTTCTTTTCTTTTGTATATTTTCAATATTTTAAAAATTTCATCGAGAATCTTATTCGATTCTGAGAGTGGGCGTATAATGAAAGAACACAAATGTCACATTTATTTCAAAGGATATAACGATATCCTTCGTTGTAAATAATATCGAAATAAAACGACAATTAGCTAACTCACCTCATCTCCGCTTCGTTTGCAAGAGAAGTTATCGCATTCGCAGTACTTCCCATAAAAGACTTCCTGCGGGTTCTGGCGTTTCGCGCAATTGCATACACCACATTTGCAAGTTCCGTGACCGCTGCAAATCTCGGTACTCGTGTTGCTTGCCTTGCAATCTTCTGTTAAGTTCTGACTAACCGAACCGAACTCATGTCCCTCGCATTCGCATTGTTTACCGTAAAAACCTTCGTTGCAAAAGCACGTACCGCAAGTCAACGTGCCTCTTTCTTTGCATTCCGATGAATTCAACTGGTAGAAATTGGTTATCTTTTTGATTAGATTATAATACGTATCTATCTGTATTTTGTTTTTATCTAAATTTTTTACTCTACGTAAATTAATCTACATACAATATATATATATATATATATATATATATATATATATATATATATATATATATAAAAGAAGTTTGAAGTATCCTATATATTTTTTTTTCTTCTACATAAATATACCAACATAGATAAATGTTTAATGGATACGAATATACTCATATTTATATATTTATATAAATTAAGATACATACCTCAATATTTTCTTTCCTTTCGCAAGGACAATCACAAATAATTTCTATTTCGACGATCAGTCGCTCGTTTATTCCTCGTGGCTTTATTTGCAATAATTCTTGCCGTTCAAGAGGGCTCGTCGGGCACTCGTACGCCTTAAATAATCAAAATTAAAAATGATTCATAAGAAAGAAAACAGATAAATGAATTTTTCATATTATCTTTACCTTCAGAACTATCTCGAATTCGATTACGTTACCTACACGTAATCCATCGCATTCGTTTCTTTCCATTAATTTTTCGGTTGCGTTCAAACATCGCGAATAGTATTTAACGTCGATAATGCTCGATTTATTATCCATCATCGACACGGAACTCACTAATTGCTAAATGAATCGATGAAGTCATTTAATGATATCTCTCACTTTTTTTTCTCTTTTTTATTGTACAGATATTATTAAATATTATTACGCCATTCTCGTAATTCAATGTAACAAAATTATAATATCACATTGATCATAACCTTTTTCGATGAACTTTCTGATAAGAAGAAAAAAATAAAAAAAGAATAAAAAAAAAAAATAAAGAAAAAAAGAAAAGAGATTGAAGTTATTTTGTCATGTGACATTATATCGATTAAATTACACGTAATCGATCTCTTGAAAAATGTTCGAAAATGAAATAAATAAAATTTTATTTTTAACATGCATGTAGATATCTTTGAAATTATAATATCGAATAATAACCGATTAGTTTTACAAGGAAAAAGATAAAGAAGAAACATAAGAAAGAACGAATATAAATCAATGGAATAATATTTGATATACTGATTGGATAATCCTTTAATTGCTATTTCATTCGCCTATTAGCGATTCGAATTAAATAGAATTACGAGAATATTTCTCCCTGAGAAAGGATCAATTAAAAACCTCAAAAAAAAAAAAAAAAAAAAAAAAAAAGAAGAAAATAGCGCAGTTATGAAAGGTTGAAGGACGAGGAAAAAAAAGAAAAAGAAAAGTAAAAGAATAATTGCAAAAATACCTCATATTGTCTGCTGATAAGGGCAACGATATTTTGACCGTTGCCCTCCATCGTATCGATGGACGATCCACTGATGATTTTACTTAAATGTTCATAAATCTTATAAATCTGAGTGTGTTTCTTTTTCGGCAAGGCAAATATAATATTAATATTATGCTCTCGTGATTTTTTATGGATCTGTTCAAAAAAGAAACAAAAAATTCGATTGAATCTATACATTGAAATGAATTTTCAAACGATCGGATTAATCGTGTGCGATTAGGATGATTAAAAAAGAAAAAAAAAAAAAAAAAATAAAAGAAGAATTAATAACAAGTAAGTACCTAATTCAATTGGTATTTCATTAGAAAAAAAACGATCTCGTCGATCGTTAATCGTATCTCTTTTAATCGTAAATCTCTTTTACATAATCTCTTACGAGTTTAAATTGGCATACCTGAGCAATGGACGGATAATCTTGAAGAGACGAATAACTATAATATCCATCTTCGTCCAAATGACATTGACAATCGTTTGGTTCGACTATACCGGCCAACTAAAAATATCCTTGGGTATCGATTAATATTGAATACCATTGTATCGATCGTTAAATCGATAAATCATCGTTTTATTATAAATGAAATTAAACCTACTTTCCCGTCTCCTGCTATGTGATAAGTCGCGTCCGTCGAAAGAACGAGCAAATGTCGAGCCTTCTCACGCCATCCAATTTCATTGGTACAAACTATTGCCTGCATTAAAGCATCTAAACTACCCTCGGGAAAGTCGATATTTGCGGAAACCGGTATTTCCTTCACTTTGTTCTGAAAAACAATATTTATATTTATTATCGAATATTTATCTATTATCGCAATAATTCCTTAACGTTTTTTTTAATAGCGATATCATCGAACCTTTATTTCATTTACTTTTAATCATTTAGATACAATATAAGAAATTTAATCTAAGAAAAAAATAAAAAATAATCTCATATATCTGCATATATTTATTTTCTTTTCTTTTCTTTTTTTTCTTTTATAAAGTTAAATTTTACCTTGAAGAGTGTTACATTGTCTGTAAGAGACAACTGATGTTTGAATCCATACGTAGGTGCACATTTCGATTGAGGGTAACAGGGATTTTTCAACCTTAAATGCAAATATATAATAATTTTTACGATAGGTCTGATCTAAAAAAAAAAAAGAAAAGAAAAAAAAAAAAAAAAAGAAGAAGAAAAGAGATAACAATTACCATTTCGGGTGTGTATTACTCATCGGTAGGACAACTTTGTCGATGAAACTTCCAAAACCAAGACGAAAATTCGACGTTAATTTCCACATAGCCTGTTCTAATTTCAATGCCAATTCAGACAATTTCTCTTTGTATTTTTTCATTGTGGCAGATAAATCCATAAGATAATATAGATCAACGGGATAATCCTCTGCTTGGGTATATTTCAATATAATTCGATATTCCTCGTCTTCGAATTAATTATAAATATTCATGATTAATCGATTTGTCATCAATTAGTAAAAAAAAAAGAAACAAAGAGAAAAAAAAAAGAAAGATCTCTTTGAAACGATTGAATTAGAATGTAATTAAAACGTATAGAGAAATAGAGAAAAAGAGAGAGAGAGAGAGAGAGAGAGAGAGAGAGAGAGACATTATTTTTACCTCTTCTCAAACGTAATTTTATTCGTTGCGGTTGTATCTGAACCGGATTTTGTCCTTTCAAAGATGACAATGGACGATTTTCCAAAATAGTCATCGTATTTTTGATATCAATCACGTCGGAACTTTTACACCATAAATTACCTTCCCTTTGAAATTTATCTCTTGTTAAGCAACGTACTATTTGTCCGTTCGTTCCGAAAGCCTTTATAAAGATAAAATCAATTTGGAAATGTACATAACAATTTAACAATTTTATCCCGAATACTTGGATAAATACAAAAATGTATATATATATATATTTTCTTTTTTTTTTTTTTTCTATCAAATATTTTGTATTAAATAAAAATCTATGAAGCGGATATGTATGTCCATTTTTTCTTACATTTGTCGAACACCATACACAATTTGACGTTTGCAAACATTTCCCGCATGTCTCTTGTAAGGCACAGAGACTATCTGGATCCTTTTTCTGTTCGGCTGACACTAATATAACGATGATAGGAAGAAGAAAAAATAATAGAAAAAGATAATACACGTTTTGTACAGGGAAGACGATTGCAACGTCTAAACGACTCATAATTGTTTTAATTAGCAACGTTTTGTTCGCATCGGCGAAAACTATTCCGAGGCCGTTGAAAAAACTTTCACATACGGCTAATGACTAACGAGCTAAAAGGAAGGATACTGCGGTATTTCACGGAAATGATACCGCGATAAAACGATCAGCGTGTGTCATTAAATAAATATTTTCAAGTGCGATTTGTCTCTTTCTTATTTTCTCACTCTCTCTCTCTCTCTCTAAATAAATAAATAAATAAATAAATAAATAAATAAACAAATAAAATATAAAGAATCTCATCACTTGTGGATGATAAAAATTTTTTAATTAAAAAAATAAAACAAAAATTTCATCTCATCGTTTATTCTTTCTATTTATGAATCATTTGACGTTTTCTTTCGAGATAATCAAAATTGAAACTGTACGTCAGCATCGATTATTTTATATTATCATTATTTTCTTTCTCTCTCTCTCGCTCTCTCTCCCTCTCTCTCTCTCTCTCTCTCTCTCTCTCTCTCTCTCTCTCTCTCTCTTTCTATACATTTATTAAGACTTCTGTAAACGATCATAATTTTATTAAATATCTTCTTCTTCGTTTTATTATAAATAATTTATATTAAAAAAAAAAAAAACAAACAAACAAACAAACAAACAAACAAACAAAATACAAAAGTTTCTTTTCCGACGAAATCAAAATCGAAATCAATTCAGTCGTTAATTAGATAGAAGGCTCATTTTTTTCTTATATCTTTGACAATATCTGCCGGTATATCTTCCATCTTGATCCTCCTGACAGTTACATTCCCCGCAAACGCAATTTCCATGACCATTACAAAGTCCATCGTTATTTTCTGGATCTATGCAACTAGTAGTGGACGTGCTGCAATCGCAACCAGTACCGGTCCATTCTGGTGAGCAATGACAGATACCGCATGAACAAATCCCATGACCATTGCACAGCTACGAAAAGTTCATTTAAATACGATTGATAAAGAAAATGTGTTAAATGGATTTATAGATAAAATCAATCGGAATAAGGCAAACTTTAAGATACGTTTTATATTAAAAAATATTCTATTTACGATTTTATTTTCTATAAATTGTCGCACATAAGCAAAAAAGAGAAAAAGAAAACGAAGCGCATAAGAACCGTCGTAATTATACTAATTGGTATCGTGAAAAGGGGAATAAAAAAAAAGGAAGAGAGAAAAAATAAACAAATAAATAACATTCGGAAGAAATGTGAAACGATGAAATTTGTTCGATAAAAGGAAATATCTTGTTCGATTAGATTAAAAGAAAAAAAGAAAAAGATAAAGGAAGTGAGAAGGAAATAAAAAAAAATTAAAAAAAAAGGGATAATAAAAAAACAAAAGAAAAAAGAGCAGAAAAGAAACGAAAATAAATATTTACCCGTGAATTAACGCGCTCGCACGAAAAATTGTCGCACTCGCAATATTTCCCATAAATCCTTTCCGTTGGATTGGTCCGATAAAAACACTCGCAAAAACCACAAATGCACTGGCCACGGTCGTTACACACTTTTGCGGTTGCATTGTCGGCTCTACAATCGTCTATGGCGTTCGACAATTTCTTTGGTGAATGGCGTGCCGTACATGGATCATCCTGTGCCCAACAATAGAACAGAATCAATAAAAATATCTTTGACGATAGCAACAACTTCCGCAACATTTTCACGCGAAATCACGAATGCCGGGAGGCGAACGCTTTTTAAGAAAAAGAGATTAAAAAAAAAAAAAAAAAAAAAGGAAGGAAAGAGAAAGAAAGAAAGAGAAGAAAAAAAGAAAGCGAAAGAGAGAGAGAGAGAGAGAGAGAGAGAGAGAGAGAGAGAAATCTCCGAATCGTAATGGACAAACTCGTGGAAGCTGAGAAGATATTATTCTCGTTTTAAAATAGTACTTTAATCGTTGAAAAATTCTGAACTCTTCGATAAGCACGTCGATTGATAAACATCCTACGTCAGAATTGCTTTTATTCCGACGCGAATGTCGGAATTACCAGCAAGAGAATGTTCTTTTTTCATTTTTTTTTTTTTTATTTTTCTTTTTCTTTTCATTTTCTTTTTCTCAAAGTTCGTTATTTCTACAATTCTCGCAGAATTTCTAGCGACGATAATTCATGTTCGTCGCTTTATATATGTCGTTAGAAAAGAAAAAAAAAAAATCTTGAGAAATAATTTTCACTTTCGTTCTTTACAGTCATATAATATAATGCATTCATATAATATAATATTACTATTGTAGAACAAATTTTGTATTGTAATATATTTTTGTTTCTTTTTTCTTTGTTTTTCTTTTGTTTTGTTCTTTTTTCTTATGTTCTTTAAAGCGGATGCTCCACATACAAAAATCAAATTTTAAAATTTATTTAAACCCAAACGAGATACGTAGGGCGTCATCTTGCATATATCTGTGTAACTTAAATTAACGATAATATAGAAATCTTCTTTATCGAAGGAGTATATTTACGTATGCGTATGAAATTCTTATCGTTAGATGGCGATTAAAAAGAGACTGTTCATAAGTTCATCTAATATGAATAGTTCATTCAATTGGCGAACACACTAAGAACAGCATTGGCGACTGTCTCTTCGCTAGGAGATATCGTGATAACAGGTAAGTCGAATAAAATACTCTCGTTTGAAATGTGTTTCTAAATTGAAAAGAGGTAAAAAGGAAACAAGAAAGAAACCGATTGTATCGATAATGTAAATTCGTGATTCATAAATTATCACTACCCTACGAGAATCATTGATTCGAGGGAAGATCGGTACAAAAAGACATTATATAATCTAAGCTCTCGAAGAAAATTACGAAGATTTGAATTATTAATGGACAAGTTTCGAAAGAAAAAAGAAGAGAAAAAAAAACCTTATTCCGGCCAATCGCTTTCCCCATTAAATTTTACAAATTTAAAGTCTCGTAGAAAAGGCGAACAAAAAAAAGAAAGACGAAATTTCGTTATAAAGGACAAACATTCAAATTTTACTTACGTATCCGTACATAACCTTGTAAGCACTACAATGTGATTTTTTTTTTATTTAACATAATCACGTAACATCGACTATGATCTAATGTTAAATATTATACAATCTTATTCTTTACCACGGTATAATAGTTCTCGTATATTCATAAATGCGATAAACTTATTTATTTTTTAAGGTTAGATCTCCCGGTGAAACGTACTCGCACATATCTACAACATCCAATAGTTATCGACGTACCAAATTTTTTTTTTCTCTGCCAAGTTAACCTCATTTTCGCCTACCATAACTTACAATTGAATTTCTATATGTTCGAATGCACTTTATTGATTCTTCGTTATAGCCAATGGACGTTCCTATTAATAATTTATACGTGACATTATGCGACAAAATATGCATTTGAAAACAAAAGGAACAATTTAAATGGAAATACGTGGGATGGTTCGATCGATTTTTCATAAAATGTTATAAAAAAAAAAAAAAAAAAAAAATTTGTTTCCTTTCTTCCCTCCCCTCCCCGTCCCCGTCATTTCACTTCAGACGAGATTACCGATGAAATAAATAATAGAGGTCGTCGTAAGAAGCGCGGTAAATTCAAAAGCACATTTTTCATACCGTTATATCGTAAATATTTCATCGGTCAACGTGAATATATAATTTACTTAGGTATGTATATTCTTATTTAACTATCTTTAAATAGATCAGGAAAGCTTTTTGAAATTATCGTGTTATGTAATTTTGATGATTGTTACCGAATTACATATCTCAAAGCACGTGGTTAGATATTTTCATTCGATATTTATATATACATACATCTATGTATATATATGTATGTATATATGTATGTATGTATGTATGTACGATGTTATAATTACCGGTAAAGATAGATTCGTTATATCGTTTTTACAATTTTATCGATTTTTCTTTCCTTTATTTTCTTTTTTTCTTTTTAATTTATTTTTTATCACTCTTTAACAATTAAAAAATACTTTTACCTTTTATAATAATTATCATTGAGTGATCTCTCGTAATTTTTTCTTTTTTTTTTTTTTTTTTTTTTCTTTTTATCTTTTCTCAAAGAATTTCTTATCATCGATTTTATCGTATATGAATAAAACTCGAGAAGTAAGATAATTTTTGGCATCTATTACATGGCTCATAGATATATCAATACGTTATTATTTTAAACGTAGACGTCGGCGCCAGGATTGTCTATATTTATTAATATAACGAAGAAGCTAACGAAAATATCTAGTAAAGAAAATTTGATTATGAGGGAAAAATAAAAGTGTAGAAATAAATCTTGGATCGATCGATCGATCGATCGATCGTTCCTTGCTCCAATAATTATATCGTTATTAATTGAAAAAGCAACAAATTTCTGTGCAATTACGTCAATGGTGAAATAGGTCAATTGCAATTTTATCGTCTTTAATAAATGAATATGAAATGAAATCATATTTTATGACGCAAAAGAATTTTTTTCTTCTTTTTTTTTTTTTCTCAATCATTTACGCACATACATTTATATATTTGTACTTTGCTCCCAGCTTTAATGCTTCTAGAAACATTTGTGTAAGGAGAATTTTTACCAAAAAAGAAAAAAAGAAAGACAAAAAAAAAAGAAGTAAAACTTACATCGTAAGTAAAAGTAAAAGTAAGTACGTAAAAGTAAAACTTACATCGTAATATTCCTTAATATTTTATATTACAATATAATATATTTTTTTTATATTATCGTAACAAATATTATTATAATGTTTTTGTAATAAGAATATTATTATTATTATTATTATTATTATTATTATTATTATTATTATTATTATTATTATTATTATTTAAAGAAATTTTGAAAACATTATTATCCTACGTTATAATAACATATTATAACGTAATATTATAATATTATAAAATCAATGAAAATAAAATATAAAAGTGTTATATAATCATTAAATATAAGAAAAATCGAAGTAATATATGTCAATAGAAAAAAAAAAATTACGATCGATATTAGAACATATTTTTCGTATGTATAATCTTATCGCCATATTATCGACAATTTAATCGGAATAAGGTGAAAAGGGCAAAAAATAATCTCGATTATTCTAGCGGCTTGAATTTTTTACCAATATCCTACACAACCATCATACTTAGATAGATAATATTTTAGCTACATATAGTCGACAAAAGGTTTCATATAATTTTTCTTTGACTTTTAATAAAATAGAACAAACTGATAACAATAAATCTAACAAACGATTTGATTGTACGAATTCAATAGGCCCGAAAGTTCTTAAACCAATTTTAAAAATCAATTCGACTTGTTTTATCCTCGAGCAAAATGAAAAAAAAAAAAAAAAGAAGAATAAAATTATCTTAGAAAATTTCGAAAAAGATCGATCGATTTTTTAAATCATCTAGAAATTCACTTTCTATGATAAATTATAATCGTATAATAAATTTTTTATTTCCCTTTTATCTTGTTATTATTTTTTAATTTCCTTTTTATTTATTTATTTATTTATTTATTTATTTTTTCTTTTCTTCTTTCTTTTTCAGAAAACGAAACCGATACTGCGACATCGAAATGCATCTAACTCCTGTTTGCCATTATGCTATTAGATTGTCGTTGAATCAGGTTGGTACATAGTCTCCTCTTGCATTTTTCAAGCGCATGTTACATAATCTTTTTTTTGTTTATACTTTTATTTATTTATTTATCTTTTTTTTTTCTTGTTAATTTTTTTTTTTTTTTTCTTGCATTAGGATTAATATATCTTATGACGAATAAATTGCGTCTTCCTTTTGCTTACGATTTTTATTTATATTTGTTAAGAATAAAATCATCAGTATTAATCCTCTTTTAATCCAATCTTTTTTCTTTATATTGCCATAATCTCAAAAAGAAAAGAAAAAAAAAATTATACAATTCGATTGTCATAATACATTGTATTGCTAGAATTATATTGTAGTAAATATAATTTATATGTAATTAAAAAGAAAGAAACAAAAATAAATAAAATAAAGTAAAACTAAACTATGAAACTAAACTAATGATGAAACACTTCGATTGTGAATTAATGAACATTTTTTTAAATGAAATAAAATTAAAAATATATATATATATATATAAAAATATATATAAAAAAATATATATAAAAAATATATATAAAAATATATATATATATATATATATATATATATATATAAATGTATAATGTGTAAATGTATAATGTGTAAATGTATAATGTGTAAATGTATAATGTAAACAAACGTTACAATAAACAAGTTATCTGTCGCTACGAAGGATTAATTAAAAATTGTCGAATTGCCTAAAAACGTTGTAAAGAAAATTTTTCTTTCATTTCCTTTTCTTTTTTTTTTCATTTTTTTTTTTTTTATTTTTTTATTTTTTTATTTTTTTTTTTTTTTAATGATTATCATCATCCTCATCGTCATAATAAAAATCATGCAATGTCTAATTTTTGGTTTCATTTGTATAATTTTCAGAGTGCTGGTTCATCGATATTTCGTAAAAGCGTACAAGAACGTGGCACAATGACATCCGCAGTGTTCCTAGCAACAATTGGACTATCATTGAGCATGTTTTCGTTGAAACAAATGCAAGCGTGCACTCAAACACGTCGAAGATGCCATTAGGAAAATATGTTTGTCAACAATCATATCTACGCAACAAACATAGAGAGAGAGAGAGAGAGAGAGAGAGAGAGAGAGAGAGAGAGAGAGAGAGAAAGAGAGAGAAAGAGACAGATAGAAGCGAGCAATCAATCCTTGGCATCGATGCAAAAAAGAATAAAGGAATTATTTTAGATCGTTCTTATAGATTCGTATTATTCGACAATTTGATAAGAAAAAATTCCTATTTGAATCGTCCCGTCAAGTAGCGAACAAAATTATTAGATACATAAAAAAGAAAAAAGAAAAAGTAAAAAATCACAATTTTTTATCCTAGATTTAATAATAATAATAATAATAATAATAATAATAATAATAATAATAATAATAATGATGATGATGATAATTATTGTTATTAGATAATATAGGTCGCAATTGAAGGTATTTTGATTTCAATTTCATTAGTATATAATATTTGTACACGTAATAATAATAATAATAATAATAATAATAATAATAATAATAATAATGCACATTATATGACTTGTTATCGGATCTTTCGATTATGTCGAATTAATTAGCTGATATAGGATTAGAGATAAAGAGAGAGGAAGATCTAATTTTTCACGTTAAAATCACTTTCTTACAAATTTTCTCAATCTTCTTGTTGAAATAGAAATTATTATATGCATGCATACAAATATATATATATATATACATACACATATATACAATTAAACGAAATGAAGTGTTACAAAAACTCCATGGGATCGATTTAAAATTTTTTGTAAACTATGCTCGGTGGATACTAAAATCTCTCTGTGTATATTATCTAAAATAATCATTGTTCGTATTCATTCATTTATTCCTCACACAATAATCAGAAATAAATAAGAAAATTATATCGTCCATTTTCATTATTCGTTAATATTGTAATCAAATTAATTGCGAAAAGAAATATTATATAATAACGTTAATTTGTATTTTGATATTACGCGAGTTTGTGCCATCTTTTTTTTTCTTGTTTCTTTTCGTTTTTATTATTTTTTTTTTTCTTTTTTCTTTTTCTCTTTCTTTTCTTTTACTTAAATAATAAGTCATGATAGGACCGCCGACTCCGTTAGAAGAAGAAACGAAAGAATAGAAAAAAAGAAACAAATATAAATTATCTTTTATTTGCACGCTATATCATCTAGATTTTATTAAATGTAACAACCCATGTATACTCGTCTATATATAATTTTACGATCTATGATATATCAAAAATTGTACAATAGTAATCATAGTGACATAGTTATACACGATTGTTGATAAAAAAATGTTTGATCTATCTTCTCCTTTCTTCTTTTTTTTTTTTTTACCTATGTCCTCTTCGTCCTAGTAGACAATGTCCTAATTACTTTTTGATCTCGTAGGAAAAATACATAATATATATATATATATATATATATATATATATATATATATATATGCATACTCAACTCTCTTGTCTTATTAATTATTGTTATTGATAAGTCTATATATCCTTGATATTGGCAAACTTTACACGCATTTTAAAAAAAAAAATTTTATTAAAATCAGTGACGCTTAAAGATAATCGTTTTTTAATTTATATCAATTGTAAAAAAAAAAAATATATATATATATAAAATAACAAATTTTAATTGGATAGAGGATCAGTTTGGATCAGAGTACAAGTAAAACTTAAGACTTGTGATATTTTTTCTTTTCTTTTTTTTTTTTTTTTCTTTTCTTTTCTTTTTGGGACTTAACGTATACATTTATTTATAATTATTATACAGTCTCTCACACTCGATATTTCTCCTGTCATAAACTCTTTCGCAATAATTACTCTCTTTCCCGGGCCACCTCCCTCTATATCACCCCCCTTGTTCTGCGTTTTCTTTACTCCTCATGCAAACAATAACGAGTAAAAAAAAAAAAAAAAAAAAAAAAAGAAAAAAGAAAAAAGAATTGAGAAAAGGAATTACTTAAGAAAAAAAAAAATAGACGTCCCTCCTTCTCTCTCCCATCCTATCTTTATTTTTCTTTAAATTTATATTAACAATATACGATTTTCAAATACGTATATATCTTATTATTCGATTCGTATACCTTCTCATTGAACAACTTTTATTCGCGCGAGGACGCGTTCGTTATTTCTTTTCTTTTCTTTTTCTTTTTCTTTTTCTTTCTCTTATCTTTTCTTTTCTTTCATTGCATGAACAGCAATAACAAAAGGGATGCATGTTATTTGTAATAAAATTGAAAAGTGAGTCGCGATCGATCCGACGAAATCCTACGAATATCGTGTTAGTTCGTTCTCTCTCTCTCTCTCTCTCTCTCTCTCTCTCTCTCACACACACACATACACACACACATTCTTTTTTTTTTTATTCTCGTACACGTGATCACGCGAAGAATATTTATAGAAGCGAAGAATAAGCTAATAGAAAATTATGGCTGACTCTTGTAAAAAGGAGAAGAAAAATGAAAAATGCAAAATGAAAAGAAAACCGATAAACTTAAATAAAACTTTGGCAAAGTGCTGTTTGAGCCTTTGGCAAATGAACACGACCGATCTAGAATGGATCGTTCATCGATCAGTTTATTGATCACTTTTATTGAGCGATTGAATATTTTCTTTTTATTTAAAATGTGATGATAATAACGATGATGATCATAATAATAATAATAATAATAATAATAATAATAATAATAATAATAATAATAATAATAATAATAATAATAATAATAATAATAATAAAATAATAATAATAATAATAATAATAATAATAATAATAATAATAATAATAATAATAATAATAATAATAATAATAACGATTACATATATATATATGTAACACACACACACATATATATATATATTTCTTTCTGTTTTCTTTTTGTTTCCAAAATATAACATAAGTTTAGTTTAGATCAAATCTCTATATTACGAATTTTAATTATTTCTAACTTTAAATGAAAGTGCGAAATTTTCGGATAAAAAGAATTCCACCCATAGCTTCCCCCCTCCCCCCACCATGTTCGCCGCTATATTATCAATATATCAAGAAAGCAAAACGTTTCTTCTTTTTTTTCTTCTCTTTTTTGTTTTTCTTTTTTTTTTCTTTCTTTCTTTATTTTTCCTCGATAGCCTAAACGCTTAACTACTTTTAAATATAAAAGATCATGATTATAATCACTATGTTCGTATAATTGATGATTTAATCAATAATTATACTACGATTGTATCCTATGATAATTGAAAATTAATTTAATTAAACAATTTCATTAATTAATTAAATAATTAATTAGTGTCGTTAACAGGTAAAGAGAAAGGAAGAAAAAAGAGAAAAAATAAAACAACAACAACAAGAACAACAATTAATAGCGAAGAAATACAACGCGTATGAAAAATTAAATTAAATAAGTGAGAGAAGGAGGGAGGGAGTTTGTATAGAGGAAAAAAAAAGAAAAAAAAAATGAAAGAAGAGAAAAAAGGGCTTACGCTTGAAACGTACTTTGCCAATTATCACAGACGATTTCGTTAAGAGGAAAAAATAAAAAAAAAATAATAAAAAATAAAAAAAATAAAAAAAAGAAAGTAAAATGCAAAGAAAGAGCATACACGAAGATAAGTAGAACACCTCGACAGGGAGGGAGCGCGCTTCTGGGGGGAGGGGGGCGACGTAAAGGGATATCCATTTTTTTAAACTTCTCGGCAAATAACAATATTATACACTAATGGCAGTTTTTTTCTTTTTTTTTTTTTAGGATGAAAACAAGTGACTATATCGTATCGTGATTATTATTCTTATTACGTATAAAAATATCATCCACCGCACGCACCCCCTCTCCCCACCCGTTCCTTTCCTTTTCTTCTTCTTCGCGTGGCGAGACATTTATTAGAGAAGATAAAAGAAAAGAAATGAAAAAAGAAAAAAAATGGGGGAGGGA